TTGATGGCGACCGGTGAACAGTATAAACTGAATATTTCTCGACTAACCCAGTCGTCAACCTAGCGGAACCCGGACACGACCCTCGCTGTCGTCTCCCGGAACCTGTATATGATTACATGTTTCCAACTACTTCCGAGGAGTAGCTTACGCTTAGATTAATAAAAAAACAGGATCCAAATATACATTCAGCATTTCAGAGAATAAAAATGTGACCATAGTTAGTCACCATCACTAGACTCCCAAGTGGAGACGATAAAACTTGATCTCGAAAACCCATGCCTAAAAAATTGACTACACTATACAGATCAGGGACCAAACTGATAAGTTATCGTATTGAAGGCGAGTACATGATTCATTTCCATACATTAATGAATAAAATAAACTATTTTTCTTCTGTTCTAGAACAAGTTATCAGGTTCTCTGAATTTACGCCAGACAAAAATTTAAATTCGAAACTAGAGGATGAATTTAAAGTTCATCGACGAGAAATCATCATTCAGCACATTTTCGAAGTAAAAATTTCAGTCCAACTTTTTTGAAAACTCAATAAATATCAGGAACAACATGGGCCTTGAGAACACGAATGCGACTAAATGAGACTTCAGTTTTCATGAGAATTATGTTGAAACTCGTATCAACGCGGCAACTTTCTTGATTGACTGAAATTAAAAGTACTAGTCATTTAATGTTATAAGTACTGTACAGTGATTATTTTCGGACACTGCTCTGAATATGCATAAGACTCAGCCCAAAAACTAACTTTCTTTCTTGTCCATGCATTGATTTATCTACCTTGTGTCCGAGCAATAAATCCGTTGATTGATTTAAATCCGCCCATTTATTTTTCCAATGCTCAGTATTCAATTTAGATTACAAGATTACGGATCGCTTTAATTCCTACGCTCAGGAACAGCCAACACGAAAAATGTAATGGTAAATCATGCTTTCATTGATCTGTTCATCTGAAAATAATTCTAAGCTTCTTCGAAAAGAAAGCACAAGTCCATTTCGGGGGAATTATTCAAGAAGATTTTAATCGACGTGGAAAACCAGCATTTAGACAAAAGGATTTCACGGCTTCAACGAGGATTGGATCGCGAGGGCTTTTTCACGTGATCCCGGCATTTATCGAGACACATTCCGAGGAAAGTAGATACATTTATATATATTTTTTCCTATACACAGTATCATAAAGGCTGAATGATTGCGTGGCCGCAACCCCACAGCAGCGACGTGCGGAAGACGAATGGGACATAAATCACTGGAACTTCTTATACGGAGCCCAGGAAACGAAACCCGTCAGGCACGGAGAAAGGCGGCAGAAGAACAATCTGAACTGATAATTCCCTCTTTGCCGGGCAGTGATTTAAGCGATAATAACTCCTTGAACCAGGCTTCTTCATTCGTTTTCTCCCCTTCTGTTCGGATTTTTTTGTTCCCTTTCCAAACTTCGCACGTCTCAGTTCAAAAGTTATACAGAGTTGCAACGCGCGGTGAAACACATTTTCCCGGGCTGGCAGCTAATTACATTCCGGGGTCCGGCCGATGGTGAGATAAAATATTTTCATCAAGTTTGAACCCTGTTGAACGTCCCTAGGTTAAATGGATATGTTTCACTGATAACTGATGCAACATTCACGCGATTATAGGCCGCTATTGCGACTTCAGTCCGCACACCGATTTTCGACAGAGAAGAATTGTGCAAAAATATTTAGAAAGATTTGATGAAAAATACGGGCCAGTCCCTGAACGAAGCTATAAAATGCGATTCATACATGTTCTTCTCACCCATTAATGAGATGTAAAATTCCAAATATTATATTCTAAATGTTTTACATTGGATTTTACATGCTTGTTGCTTAAAAAATGTTGCTTAATAAACATTTTTGTCTTCAATCGATATCTACGAGGGTTCTTACAAAAGTTCTCAGAATATGAATTAAAATGGCGCACAATCGAGCTGAAAAAATTTTTCTTTAGGGAAAACATATTCTTTGGCACAAAAAATCAGCCCTGTTAGACAATTTTTTGGATGCTTTGCAAAATTCACCCTGGCAGAGTTTTGCTCTCTACGCAAAAGAGGCGCCCTTTCTGCCTTTTTTTTTTTTTAGCCCAGCTTTCCCTCAGAATTCTTGAAATCAAGGTGGCATTAATTCCAAGGGTTGCCTCCATGGCGGCTGTGAAGGCGGCTGTTGATGAAAATGGCGGAATTACCTTGGAAGACCTGGAGGCAACCCTTGGAATTGATGCCACGTTGATTTCAAGAATTCTTATGGGATACCAGTCAGAGCATTGACAAATGGTCTCAAAAAGTACTCAAGCCAGATTTTTTTCCTGGAATGAATGGATCAGACGATGGTGCATCATTAAAACTTTCAAAAATGAATGTCTGGAAATCGTGCAAAATTTTAGAAAGATTTGATGAAAAATTCGGACCAGTCGCATTCTAAGAACGAAGCATTAGAATGCGGTTCATTTATGCTTTTTGTACTGCGATATAAAATACCGCAATATCTTCTGAAGGTATTAAATTGAATTTGAAAGGCACGTTGCACACAAAGTTGAAGACATTTTTGTATTAAACGATATCTTCCGGAATAAGGACTTTGAGAAATGGGTTCAAGAATTTCTCAAGCCAATTTTTTTTAATGAAATGAATGGATCAGACGATGGTAAATGATTACAATTTCCGAAAATAAATTTCTGAAAAAACCAAGTGCGGCCCTTCTTTGGAGAGATCATTGTATTTTCGGAGAAGAAGGTGCGGCCTATTACCGAGTAAATGAAATAACTATAATTTCGTGGGGAACCAGGAAGACCACAAAAAAGGAAACTTACGGTTTCTGACGACGTATGGATTCAAGTTGTCTTCAGATTTTTTGAAGTAGTGTAACACATCCCGGAAGCCCCAGCCATAATTGCCCATCCTTTCCCAATTGTCGTAATCGTTGATGTTGCCACGAATGTACACCATGTAATTGAGCACTGAAGATCCTCCAAGTACTTTCCCTCTCGGCCAATTGCACCGCTGAAAAAAAAGACGAAAAATAAAAATTATTCAATTAGCTGACCTAAAATTTATGCAGAAAGCCAAAATAGCGTAAAATTCGAAATTCGTACAGTAATTATGAAATAAAAAGTTTGCTCTCAACCGCGAACCTCAAACAAATTAACCGCGTTCACAGAATTTCATAAGTATTTCAGTGTGGACTCAAAATCAACGATCTGCACTTCGAAAATCGACTGAAAAGTCTTTTTTCCGACTGCAGTACACCCTTTCGCGAATTAACGATTTATGGAAGAGGAATCGCACGTGAAAGCAGGAATTTCTCCAATTCACTCCAATCTTCGATTTGCTAGTCGTAATTTAGTGCAACCGGTCGAAAAGCTCTGGCATGGGAAAAAAATACTAAGGTGCTGTTTTTGTTCAACTCGGAAAGTGAGTCATTTTTCGTTTTTCGTCCAAGAGATACAGCATTCAATAAAGATACTTTTTCGCACAAAATGAACTACACGGTAACGCCGGAAAGAATCACGAAGCTCGTTCGTTGGTCAAAGGGTTTATATTTTACTCAAAACTGAAACCACGAGGAATGACAAATGTTTCCTGATTGCCATCATTTCCTATTCTATCCAGCCCAGTAATTTATTTCTCACAAATTTCTCAAGGTCGAAGGGTCGCTCAGGTTAGTCTGCTAAAAGAAGGCTTTCTCTTGCTGCAGGGCAATATTTTCAATTGAAAAAATGATGATGAACATCGTCTTTATTCTCGTTCATCTTGCGAATCATTCACGTCGAATAAGTTATGTATATGACAGATGCATGCTGCATTGCATGTAAAAAAAAAAAAAACGCTGGATGTTTTGAAAATAGAGTAACAAAAAACCTTGTTTCTCGTCAGCAAATATCCGCGATAAATTTAACAAGACACAATCGTGAAAGACAAAAAGTTTTCCTTTCAATTTTTCGGAGAAAGTCCTGCATTTTTTTCGTCTTCTCATCATTGTTTTCGAGTCGAGCCCCGAAAGGCAGACAAACGGCACATTGAAATCGTATCTTAGGAAAAAAAGAAAAGAGAAACTCGGAAATGTTACGTATAATGAAGGAGATCGTCTCGGCGCTTTCCCGATTGTTGCTGAAAAAGCTGTCAGTTTGAAAGCCTCTTTAAATCACATCGTCGACGAGGACAGCATATCAAAAGTCATTTCTTTCTTACTTTTGGAGAAAGATCTCATCATTGTGGGATTTCAAAAATGCCCTACTTTATTTCTTCTCATTAGAGACCTCGTTGAAGTAACTAAATGAATCATTCAAGAAGACAAAAAAATCCTGACAATTGCGAGACTCGTATTTTTTCAGTAATTCTTCATGCGAAAGATAGTGTCGAGGACTCTCATATTCAGTTTGAAATACATTCTGAAATGTGCCGTATAAGAACGAATTTTGGCAAACTGGTGATTCAACAATGAGATGCCCACTTCCGAATGAAAAGAAAAAAATCGTTCACAGTGAAAAATGACTGCAATGTAGTCCATTTGGTAAATATCTCGTAAAAATGACGACCTCACTTGAATTTTTGATTTCATCAACTATTGTGAGCCTTGTCAGTTAGCACTTAGCAGCAAGAGTTAGTTCATGGCAGGATTTTATATGAACCATCCAAAGTTGAAGTTGTTTTCGAAGTTCAGGATTAACAGAAAAGCAATCACAGTTCCAGACTTGCATTATATTTCGGCAATAAGTTAACAGTACTTAGGACGTTTAGACGGTAAACTTTGAAACAAAAGACGCAATATTACCTCACTCAGCATCAATAGAATTTTAGTTTGTTCTAATTCAGTTTTTTCTTGTTTTCAATGCAGGATGTCTATAGAAATCTCTGGAACTGCAGAAAATGCGGAAAAATGATGACGTTCTTGAGTTTGAGGAAACCCGAGAATATTATTTTCCAAGCCCAGGGGATTCGTGAGACAAGTACCGTTTCGGACAGACCAAGTTTCGGCTGACTCATCATTACAAGCATAAAACGTCGGGATTTCAGTCTGGGTTTCCCGAAAATGGATGTTTACCATCTAGTTTCGCGGCTCAACAGTACC